CTAAGTCTAAGCTCAGCAGCTGTCGAGCTGATGGCAGCTTCTTCAGAGGTTGGTGCAGCACGGAAAGCCCTTATGGCATGGGCGATAGCTGTGTCGCTGAGCGGGCAGGCCTGTGGGTGGAGGATAGAGACCCCGTGTCGGGCAGGACGTACCATTTGCTCAACCGCTGATCTGATGATAGCAGGCACTGCATTATGCCAGCGGTTGGTGGAGCATGCAGTCAATGCACGTTCGAACGTGATGCAGGCAATAGGCTCACCGGAGACCACCATCGACGAGTAACTGCCAATCACGAGCGGGGCCTTTGGGCATGCTAAGGAATACGTACAGCTCCCAAGCGGTGTGACTGTGCTTCCTCGAGTAAGCCACTGCACAGAGAGCATGAGAGCGAGCAAGATGACTCAGCTGTAACCTATGAGCCTCTGCTTCCTGACATACTTGTCTCAAGCCCTGTTATCAGCACGATCACACTCACCGACAGAAGCCTTACGGCTAAGTCAGGGTCCTTCGTTGTAGCACAGCAATGGAGGGTCGCTGAGAGAGAGTATTCGAGTGACCTGTGGTGTACGGCCTAACCTTCGAAGAAGTCATTATCTGGCTTCAACAGTCGCCACTTGGTCACATGATCCCACAAACGTGCGCAGTCTGTCCCCCGTCGCTGTGAAGCGAGGCCTCGAGCTAAGGAGGAATATACGGACAGTGGAACAGGCAAACGGGGAAACTTGTCAGAATGTAGCCGATCTGAAACGAGACCGAGGCGTCACTGACGATGCGGCAGCCCCACTTCTCGAATTGATGGGGTTGGTAGTGATATCGCCCTCAGCCTCCATCCTGGCCACCAGCTGTCGCGCTGCAGAGATGTCCCCTTCGATGGCTGTTGCCTATGAAGAGCGAGAATTGCCGTAGAATGGGTGGGTGGTCTCTCACCTCAATAGCAGCCCCCGCTAGGGTATAAAGACGAGACAGCTGTTCTGTAGAGGGCTGGCTAGTGATTGACACTAAAGCACGTAGGAGGCTTGTACGGGCAGTGGCTGCTGATATTCCTGCTGCTACACCGCATTGGGCAGACATTGAGGAGGAAGGGGGAGTATGTCTAGGAACTTCAAGGTGTAACTTGCTTCCCTAGTGGATTCCGAAGGGCACCCACGTGTCTGGAGGCATCGCGTCAGAAGCACTCATAACTCAGTACTTCACCACAGAGAAGTAAATTCTCTGTGGTGATGCTCGAGCCTTCTGAGCTGGAGACAAAAACAAATGTCCTATTCTCAAACTCGAACGCAACTGAAGTCAGTATCACATGCAGGGAAGCACCAGAGCATATTACATGGCACTCCTCATCGAAGGACCGAATCTCAGCCGTTCTATGTTCTGTGAAAATCATTCGACCTTGTATGGATGCATTGCTCTAGCTTACCCTCGATAGGGGTCATACTATTCGAATGGCGCAGAGTAATGCGGTATTTACCCTGATCCGCGATCACTGGATCCATATACCGTAACTCTGCGACATCGTCATCTGATAGTCCATCAGCGTAAAGGAGAGAGTAATGGCTCTCAGCACCAACTAGTCAAACTAGCTATCGACTTCGCCGGTCTGGGCGCCCACCGCCCACTGTAAGGTCTGGCGTCACAGGATATCCGCAACCGTGTCTTTCAGGAGGTTCTTAGCTCGACTGCATTGGGCGCAAGTGTGGTACTTCCTGATCAGGCTACACTGAGTAAAAGGATCGGCTAGCGAACGACCCACTATCGGTAGCAACAGGGATGAACTCTTCCTGCATGTGTTTAAGCATGTCGGCCTTAGCAATCGCCGAGTCATCGCAAGGGTCACCTCGCGATTGAACCAAGCAAGACGGCATGGATGACCTAAGTGATAGGCTCTAATTCCAAACCTGCATCAGTGCCGACCCTCAGCGCCCCCAACTGGCCTAGTTGATAAAATGATAGAACGAAACGCCATCGGAGTTGTTGCCAGTGAGCTCTCGTCTCTATCGGCTCCTCGTAGAGTCCCCTATTGTAGGATCCAAAAGTAGCATCCGAGGCCCGGACACTATGGTCGAACTTATGGTCGCAGTCTGAGACTATGAGTCTGAGACTCTCAGAGGGACAGGTACCACCCACAGACCGTCGTGAACTCATCCACCGAAAATGCAAAGCCGGTCTTCATCCTTTCCAGGTTACTGCTGGCGGTAGCGAATGCTGTCGATATGCAATAACGGAGTATGTTGAACATATCCAGATATCGCAAATCCAGAGATGCATCAACCTGCTCTAGTGTGCAATAACCCTACGGAATCAAGAGGTCCACAACGCGGAATAAAAACGAAAATCGGATAGTCAGGGCATAATGCGACAATAACATGTATTGCAAGGACATAAGTTGGTACCCTTTCTCGAAGATGCGCCTGTCGCATCCCCTGACTTGAAAGACAGCACTGCTGATTTTACCAACACATCAGGATGGGGGTACAGAAACACACAGGATCAGTTAC